AAACAAAAACCAGATGGAACCATATTAATCCAACAACCTACCAACAAATTATAAATATCAAATCAAGAGATGGTATGTCTAGGCAAAGTTTATCTGAGAACAATTGGTCTTTGCCCAAGATTTATCTACATGGCATGAGAATGGTGGAACTAACCTTCTTGGACGTTTAACAGACATATTTTGAGGCCTATAGTAATTTGGTCAGAGGCGCATATAGGACAGTTTTTGCTCCTTGCCCTCCTAGGTCGACTAGTTCGAGGGGACTATGAGCATCTCTCAAAATATCCTGTAATTGTGGTGGGTCACCTGTCCTCTTGATCCAGAAGGCCGAGGAGACCCCACGAGGTGGACTTGAACCAGTGTCCAGTCTACAAAGAGGAGGGTCAGCACAGAGGAATCATTTCCTCCATGCTTCCAAGTGAAGCCAGCCATGGTCAAGCAGGACCTTTGACTCATATTCACATAGGTGGTACTGGTAAAAGAAAGGAGCCAGGGGCTCCTCCCAAGCCCATGTGACCCCTGAGGAACAGATCCTTAAACAGCCTGAAGAGTACAAATAAATTGGGCCAACTATATGGCCTTATACACCCAAAAGGGAACTATAATCAAAGATTAAAGGGGCCAATATAATTTTTTAAGAGTCCATATGCATAGCTAAAGGCTACATAACAAGCAACAATGCCAGATAGGAAATACCTTCTTTTGAGTTGTTGGTCAGGGTGGCCCAAGAGACTCCCAGATAGTAACCCAGCATAGAACTGGGAAAATGAACAGCAGACCCCAATCTTATTTAAAGGAATATTGACAGCTGATTGTTGCTAGATGACAAAGAGCTGACCTTCCTAAAACAAAGACCTATAGATAGGATGACTAGATGCACCAGTTGGACAAGTAGTGGGGAATGGCTGGGGTGCTGACAACACAGTGGACAGTAGCAGGGATAACCAGAGTATAAGGGCTGTAGTTGGGGAAGGGAGGCTATGGGTGGTTGCCATCTGAGAAGTGGGTATATAGTTGTATAAGATGGTTTGGGATGTTCTGTGTGATTTACACACACAAAAAGTCAACAAACTTTAAAAAATGAATTATATTTGAGGAGGAAGAATAAAAATTCATGTCATGTTAATTAGTAGAGGTGATAAACATTACCAATGAAATCTACCCGATGACTTTATAGACATAAACAGGTGCCAAGGATCTGAATGCAATCGATTATGACTAGTAATCATCAGATACAGAGTAGAGACACATGCGCCAACATCCCAGTTTTATTAGCAAAAACGAGTGTTTCTGTAAGAAACAGTTCATTTTAAAATGAAATGGAGATCTTTTTTAAAGGTTAAAAACTCATTCAATTTTATGTATTACAGGGCTTATACTGAGTTCAATATTGTATAACTGTATTAATTCAACAGGAAACCTAGAAACTTACAGCC